TCTGTTTTGTATTCATAGTACTTATTCCAGTGTTTGAGCATAACAGGGTTTCAGTAACAGAGAGAAATTCATGAGCGAATGAATGACACATTTCAAAGGCTCCTACCGTATTATTTATAATGAAATGAGGAAAATCTGTGCTGATATTTTTATTAGCTTTTCTAAATTTCTAGTTTGTCAAGCAAGTGCTCATGAAATGAAGCTTTTATTTTTGTTGGTTTTTTTTCTGTGAATTTCACAGTCATTCATGCTCATGCATTTTCCTTTTTCCTCCAAAAGATAATAAACACCATCATGTTGGTCCTATTTTGTTATTTCAAAACTCATTTTTTATACGCAACTTATAACATAAAAGCTTTATATGGTTATCATGTGTACCATTGTTGTCCAATCCTTCACCAAGGATAGTATTAGTATAAGAAAAAAATAAATGTAAATAAAATGCACTTTCGTTTTTGTTAGTTTAGTAAAATTCTTTAAGGAAGTATTGTGGGACAGAGCTTCTGCTTGGCAATGGATTACAAAGCTTATCAAGATAGACATGGTCTTGCTTTTATGAAACTTCAATATATTGCATGAATATTCAGGCATAATGGTATGGTAGGAAGAAAAGCTGGGACAAAGTGTATCCATTCTTCTTAAACTATCAAAACTGCGATCCCCTTGGCTGGTGAGATGGTCCAGAGAATTAAACCTCCTCCTGCCAAGTCTGAAAACCTGAGTTCAGTTCCTAGAACCTACACAGTGGAAGGAGAGAGCTAATTTGTGCAACATGTCCCTTGACCAACACATGTGCTGTGCATTATATCATACAAACACACATATAGTCACACTCAGACACACAGACACACACACACACACACACACACACAGTAAAATAAATATTCAAAAAATATGAAGAAAGCCCCCCTCAGAATGGTGAGTTTTTGTTAATATTTATTTCAGTTTGAAAAGTTATTCATGAGAACAGGAGTTAACCAGGGTCTCAGAGAAGGTATCCTCTGCAAAGAACATGTGTGCTAAAGAACACATAGGGAAATGGAGGAAACAAAAGAACTTATCCAGAAGGATCTTGGAATAAATTAAAAGACAAATTTATAAATGGAGGAATGCATCATCAATGACACCTTCAGGTTTTTGTAAATCATAGCTGGGCATTGCTCACCTTCTACATTTTGAACTGTTTAGTGGAGCAAAAGCAGTGTGCCCCAAAGAAACTATATTTTGAATGTTTAATTTTCATTTTTTCCCAGGTAGTGGCACCATGTGGGCATTAGCAGTCAGCTTCAGCTGTCACCACAGGGAGATTCATCATGTATGTGAGAGGCTTTGTGTTACTTTACTTAGCTGTAAACTAACACAAGTTTCTGAACCTATTTAAGGTAGAATGAGCTCAGTATTAGATGTTTTAATTATATTTTAAAATAAATGTTTTTTAATTGAACCACATAATGGAGTTCACTATAGAATAATGCAAGTTACATTTTATTTATTAATTAATAAAATATTATAGTATTTTACTTTTTATTTTTATTTCATGTGTATGAGCATATTGCTTGCATGAACATAAGTGTATCCATGTTGTGCCATGCCCATGGAGGTCAGAGAAAAGTGTTGGAATCTGTTGGAACTGGAGTCAGTGCTGCTAACCACTGAGCCATCTCTCTAGCCCCTTAATACATATTATACGAGACACTGATCATATCTTCTAACCCTAGAGCAACACTTTTTAACCCTCCTTAATCCTATTTCTCATCTTCGTATTTTGTAATAACATATTTTATTTTTGATGCTTTCAATTCATGATGAATCATTCATCACACAGCCCCATCTTAAGGGACATATGTGTATAAAACTGTTTTTCAGGTAAGGAAATGATTATAAAGTTTTGACAATTTAAAACATTATCTATGTATCATAACTAGGTAATTTTGACAGAGAAATTCTGCACTCAGTGTAGACTTTAAGAGATCTTTTCACAGTGGCATGGGGGATAAAGTCCCTGTGAATGTACTGGAGAAAGGACCAATTGACACTTTCCTTATGTTTGCAGAGGATCAGAAGGAGAATGTGGTATACAAAAGATCAGGTGAGAAAAAAATCAACTATATTCCATGACATATTTAATAGGTCAAATGTGAGTAGCTCATTTAGATAATGATTCTAAAATATTTGGGTTAAACTGCAATAAAAATTTTAGTACCACTACATATGAAATCTTTTTGAGGAAAATAAAAGCAAAGTTTAATGCATTATTTAGTATGCAGCGACTAAAGAACTGTAAACAAAGACATAAAGGAGGAGACTGCGTGGTTGAGTATTCTGCAATAACATGATCATAAATCATAATTATTCATTTCCTTCAAGTCATAAATCTAAAATTCAACATCCATACAGCTGAGCTAAACAATCATGGTGTTATTAAGCTCAGATTTCCTTTGTTTCTTAACAGCATAATTAGTTTGTAGCTTCACTGCTTCCTAAAAATGTAATTTAAACTTTGTCTGTTGCTACACATGTGCTATGTCTTTATGTAGAGAAACTAAGTCATCAGTAAGAAGAGGGAGCATTCCCATTTTTCCTGTGACAAATAACCAGACCTATTTACAGCTGTGTTTAGTCTATGCTACTTTTCTCCTATTTAGTAAAATACTACCCTAGCTAGACATTAAGTGATCTTTTCACAGTGGCATGGGGCATACAGTCCATGGGAATTTCTCTGCTCTCTGAGATAAAGCTTCCAGTGTCTACAGTGTCTTTGACCAATATGAAAACAGAAGAAAAAAGATAACTATCATTTTCACTTGGTCCCAGTACCAAGTATATAACTACTAAATGGTTTAGTTCTAACTTTGGAGCACAGTTCATTAAATTATTCTTCATACATGCATGCAACATATTTTTTTGTAAATGATATTCCTGTATGTATCTGAAGATTCTAACTCTAAATCACAGATGAAGATACCTAGCTCTACTGAAACAATTAACCAGAAACTGCTATTAGTAACTCTACTGAAACAATTCTCCAGAAACTGCTTTTTACAAATTCTGCATTTCCCATAATAACACATGCAGTTCTTGCAGGTTCTGGGTATGCTTCTTTAGGGAAGCAAAAGTTATATTCACTATAAAATTATATAACCTGTAAGCATCTACATGAAGTCTCATTTTAAACACTCATAAATATTATCTTCTATAGCAATATCCAGCCATGCTAGCTAAATAAACTTTTCCTGCACTTGATAAATTCCTTTCCTGTTTCTTTACACTAAAGGGAAAGCATTTCAGGTGAATAAAATATGAATAAACCAATGATAAAACGTATGTAAAGCTCACCATAAAGGATTTAGATTTAATATGAA